TCAAAGAATATAGCATTCCTCGACTCAATCGTGGTACCAACAGATACCTCTGGATTTTCTGATTTATGAACCAGAAATTTGTATGCTGTACTATTGTACGCATATCCAATAAATACACAATTGACCGTCTTTGGTCCGACTCTCATTTGTTTTGGTTCAGGTACTGAAACCTTAGCCAAACACCCCCACACTTTCAGGTATTTATAAGACGGCTTACGATTTTTCCACATTTCGTAAAGAATCTCATTTTTTCCTTTAGGTGGTATTTTATTCAGGATATGATTTGTTGTTAAAACAGCTTCCCCCCACATGTTCTGTGGTAATCTTGAATTTATCAACATGGCATTCATCATTTCTTTTAAAGTACGGTTCTTGCGTTCAGCAACACCGTTCAACTGTGGAGAATAAGGGGCTGTCGTTTGATGAATTATGCCATAGTCAGAACATATTTGTTCAAAAGGAGATACATACTCCCCACCCCTATCACTTCGGATTATTTTAATCCTTTTGCCGAGTTGATTTTCAACTTCGGTCTTATAGATTTTAAATGTTTCCACAGCCTCGTCTTTGCTTCTTAATAAATATAAGTAGCAAAACCTTGTGCAATCATCGATAAAAGTAATAAAATACTTTTTACTCGTTCTTGTTTGCACACTTTTCATATCACATACATCAGTATGGATTAAGCCTAATGGTTCAGTACTCCTTTCCACTGAGTGAAAAGGCAAATTAGTCATTTTTGCTTCAATACAAATCTCACATTTCTTATGTGATTCAATTTTAGAATTAGGAATTAATTCTAAATTCATCAACCGTTTAATTGCATTTAGATTTACATGTCCCAATCTAATATGCCATAAATCCGAGTACTCAACGGTATAAACAAAAATAGGCTTTTCATTATCATTTAAAACGGTTACACGGCTCACGGCCATTACATTCATTTTGAACATACCCTTGTCGAGATAGCCACGACCAAGGATAGTTCCAAACTTGCTAAGAACAAATTTCTTAGCATCAAATACGAGCCTAAATCCATGCTCAACAAGAAGAGCTCCGGAGACCAAATTCTTGCGGATGTCCGGGACATGCAGAACATCCTTAAGCTTCAACTCCTTTCCAGAATTCAGCTTCAGCACCACAGTGCCCACTCCAGCCACATCAGCCGTGGCGGAGTTTGCCATGTAAAGTTTCCGACTCTTAGCAGGAGTGTATTCAGAGAACACCTCCTTATCGGAACACACATGACGAGTGACACCAGTATCGATGTACCACTCCATTGGGTTATCCACCATATTGGCTTCAAACACCACAGCTGACATATCAAAGTCGGTTAGATCACCCGACACAGAGCCGTGTTCAGCCACAAGGGCACTCGGTTTAGCTTTCTTTGGCCCAGACGTCTTTGGCCTCTTGCAGTCTTTAGCCATATGGTTCGGCTTTCCATAATTATAACAAGTTCCGATAAACTTCCAAACCTTGGCAGGCTGCTTCCCTTTGTCTAGGGACTTCCTCTTGCTCGAGTGGCCTTGCTCCAGCAAGTTAGCACGAGCCTCTATCATTGGAGACTTCACCGATGAATTACGATTGTTCTCCTCAATACGAAGACGAACAACTAGATCTTCAAGACTCATCTCCTTCCTCTTATGTTTGAGGTAGTTCTTGAAGTCTTTCCAACCCGGCGGCAGCTTTTCAATCACAGCCGCAACTTGGAATGACTCGCTTAGAGACATTCCTTCAGCATGGATATCGTGCAAGATAAGTTGAAACTCTTGCACTTGGGACACGACGGTCTTAGAGTCGACTATCTTGAAGTCAAGAAACTTGCCGACGACGAATTTTTTCGCCCCGGCATCCTCAGTCTTGTACTTCTTCTCCAAAGCAGCCCAAAGCTCTTTGGCAGAACCAACCGAGCTGTACACATTGTACAACTCATTACTAAGTCCGTTTAGGACATAGTTACGGAAAAGGTAATCACCTTGCCCCCAAGCTTCATACGCAGTGCGTAGTTCAACATTTGTCTCATTTTCATCAATAACCGGGGGGGTCGTCCTTCAGGTATTTCACCAAACCCAAAGTGGTCTGGTAAAAATGCATCTTTTGTTGCCACCTTTTAAAATCAAGCCCATTGAATTTTTCGGCTTCGCAGCAGTAGGGACATGGACAACAGGTACATGATTGATCGGATGCTGAGTGTTGGAACCATTTCTGGTGGAAGCCATCAGTCCAGTAGGTTGAGATATTCTTCTTGCGATTGTTATTAACTAAGTATAAAATACACGGGAATCCTATGAACTGATATGTATTTTCAGTTCTTACAAATAATCTAAAAAATAGAAAATTACAATTGAACTGAAAATTAAATTAAAACTTAAAAACAAAAAGGAAAGATTATAGCCGAGGCGAGTAAAACTCTTTCCGCAAGAAAAATACGCCCCGTGTGGCAGCTAACGGTTCAGGCGTAACTTCCCAAAGATACAACGAAAAACGTCTCTAAATCTGTAGCACACCAGATTTACGAGCTCCGGCGAACTGAAACGGAGTCGAGAATTGAGCACTTAAAAATATGAATAAAAATATCTCTCTTTTGTTATTTTGATAACAAATAAATATCTTTATATTTTTCTATTCTTTCTTTCTCTCTATCTTTCTCTTCTTTTCTTCTGTGTTTTCCTCCTTCTGCCGAGCCCTCTATTTATAGTGATAAATTGATCAAGTTGGCCAAATATCCAACTGTTCCACGCAGTTTCCTCCTCACAGATTGCAATTATTAATTTTTATTACAATTATTAAAGTGATTGCAGAATTGATTGGATGACCAATTTAATAACACTCAAATCACATGGAGGTTGAGGAATTTGTTGTCCTAACGTGGTAGTGGTTTTGGTTTGGTTGTCCAAATCATTAATTATACATAGTGGTTTTGGTTTGGTTGTCCAAAACAATTAATAATACACTCACAATTTTTATAACACCAAATTCCGCCGAACCACCATTATTTCTCGCAAAACTCAGTTCACCGGCGTCCACTCCAGCGAGTAACTGTTCGCGTGCAGTTCCCTCTGTCCCCGTGTTCAGAGGCCCGAGTTCCGTCGAGGCTCCGCTCGCCCCGTTCGATTTCCGTTCGTCGTCCCGTTTTTAGATAACTCGTCGATTCCCAAAGTCGGGTAACCTTTTCCAAACCTTCTTGTTATTTTGTTCATAATCGTAAATCATGCTATTGGATTCGTTCGCTCGTTAAATCGATACTCGTTGATTGGTCGGTTTATGTATCAGTTCGTTTTGTACGTTCGAGAATATTGAATCTTATTGTGGATGAGTGGAACTCTTGTTTTCGAAAACTGAATCCTTGCTGTGATTATCCGTATAAGATTCGGAGTATCGTTGTGTTTTTCTGGGTCGTCTCGTTCGTGTATGTGTCGTTCGAGTCTAGTATGTTGTTCCGTTATTCGACTCTTTTAAACCCGATTTTAGTAAATATTTTTGAATTATGTGAACTGTGATTTTCGTGAATTTATTGATTTCTCGAACCCCGGTTACCGTTGGATATGAAATTCGGTCCTTTTTTTTAGCAACCCTGTTCTGCAATTTTCGAGCCTCTGTTCGTTTCCCTGTTCCAGTTTCTGTTCATGAATGGCAGATTTTGTGTTAAATGGTAACTTGGACCTGTTGCAGCCAACCCCGTAGGCTCTCTTTTTCTTTAACTTTTCTGCAGTTTTTTTTTTTCTGGCCCAAAATTTTGTTNTATTGAATTTTTTTTGGGTGTATATATTCAAATAATAATAAGAAATATTATTCACTAAAATACATCTCTTCATTCCCTTACTCATAACTTATAAAATTTAATAATCATTACTTACATGTTTGAAAAAAAAAATTTAATAATTAACTTATTTTATAATTTACAATAATGTATATTATAAGTATTTTAAATTTTATTTTCAACGTAAATTACAATAACTTATATTAATTAATTTTCCATATTTTTTTTCATTTTGTTAATTATATATTTATTTTACTTCTCTTTTTAAATATATTTCTTAAGTTAAGTATCTATATTAATTATTATTCTAAATTGATATAAGTTTTATTGTTCCATGCATATATCCAAATTAAGTGTCTTGCCGATATTTAAAACTATATAAAAAAGAGAAATGTCATAGGTACATAATAATGTACATAGAGGTGTACATAACACTCACATTAAGTGGATCCTATCAAAAATAAAAAATCAAGTGGACCCTATTCCATGTGAGTGTTATGTACACTTCTATGTACATTTATTATGTACTTGTAGTTTTTTTCTATAAAAAAATATTAATACAAATTAAATTTTGCATAAAAAGTAGTTAAAAAAATGCTTAATGAATAAATCCCAAATTGTGAAACACTCCTCAAAAAGCGCACTGCCAAGACATCGCCTCCACTCACCAGCAAAAACGCATAGGCTTAATCAACTGAAGTTTTGATATTTCAGTTGTTTTGTTCTCACAAGTAAGAATTATATTTGCAATTTGCTATTTCTTTCTTGCCTATTCACAATGAAAATATTTTATTTGCTCTATTTTAGATATATGGTTTGCTGCAATTTTTTATCCATATTAGTTGATCTAGAAATTCTTTAGTTTTCTTAATTAAATAAAAAAATATCCATATTTATTCAATTTTCATAAAAGACGTATTTTGCAACAAATATCTTGTATTGATTCTTGAAGAATATAGAGTTTCTTTTACTATATTGTTCCCCTACTTTGGAGAGTTTTAGTCATCTTCACTACAGGTAACATATAATCTTTATGTTGCTTGATAGTTTTTATTTAATAGAATTAGTATGTTGCTATGCTAGCACAGTGAGTGAACTTTAAAATGACTTAGTTCTAACATGTTCTTATAGAAAGAACTACTTGGGTACTTTTTGGCATACTGGTAAAAAAAAATAATGAGTTGTAATTAGGGCTCACCTTTTTGTAAAACCAACCTGAGAACCGTATATTCCAAGTTCAATTTAGTGATTCTCTCTCTCTAAAAACCTCCTCTCTCTCCCCTAAAAACAAAAAACCAGATTTGTAAATCTTGTTGCCTCCTCTCGGTCGATTAGCGCAGCTCCACCACTGTGGGTACCTGCTCCGGCGCGGTTCGAGGCTCTCGCCCCTGTGAGGTCTTCTCTCTCGGCGCAAGTGTCGCTCTTCCCGGGTTGTTGTGGCGGTTTTTTGAGGAGACCCACTAGTGGAGAGGGCGGGATTGCGGGAATCACTTGTCTCATCCCGACAGGTGGTGTTTTGGCCGGCGCCGGCGCTTCCCTCTGTTGTCTTCTCTGATTCCTGGTGTTGGAATGGTGAAAGCTCTCCGGTGGAGGCCTCTGCGCCTTGGGCGGTTCTTGGGCACCCGCTGGATTGTGGGAGGTAGATGGGCTTGGTGTGGGCTTCCGCGGTGGTTTCGAGGTTAGCTGGTCTGTTATGAGGTAGATCTATGGTAGCCTTCACCCTATTCGGTGAAGGAAGTGTCGAGATCTGCATCTTGGGCGCATCTTGGGGGTTGGCCAGGCTTGGAGGGGTCGTTTTTCGGCTTTCGTCTCACGTGGTGAAGTTTCGTTGCTAATTCGTGACTGTAGGGGAGGGCTCTAGTTTATATTTTTTCTTTTTTTAGTTTTGGGTATATTTCAGTTAGTTTCTTCTTGTGTTGTTGTTGCTTGGTTTGTGTTTACCTAGGCCCGTCTTTTGGCGCTAATGAAGTTGGATGATTACCCTGAGTGGCCTCGATCACTTATTGATTGCCATTCGGGGTGGAGGTAGAACAATTTCATTGGTGTTGCGGGAATGGGATTGTCGTGTTGTGTTATGGGGTCTGTTTTGGGTTTTTTTGTTGGTGTTTGTGTTTTGTATTTTAGTTTGATGTAGTTTCTCCCGTAGGGGAGTGTGTTTCTCCCGTAGTGGAGCTCTTTCTCCCGTCGGGGAATTCTTTCTCCAGTTGTGGAGTTTGTTTTTCTCTGTTGTGTTGTTTTGTTAGTGAGTGCTCTCTAGGCGATCCGTTGGATCTGTCCTCCCACTAGATTTAGCTTTTGAGCTATCTTTTCGGCTTTTGAGCTGTTTTCTAGATGTATCTATGTGTTTTATGATATAAAATTTCTATCGTTTGAAAAAAAAAAAAATTCTGAAAACCGTTGTCGATGTTGAAATTCCAAGTCTGTAACGTCACTTTCCATCAACTCTTGCTTATGCTCCCTATCATAAGAGAAATCAATAATTCACAATGGCAGGAATGTTATGTATACACAATGAACATTAAGGAAATGAAAATTCTTACTGAACAAATGAGTTTATTTCTGGACAATTATTGAGTATGTAAAATTGTGAATGTTTATGCTTCTCGGGGCCCAAAGCCACACTCTTACGACCTTCAATAAGAATGCACTGTGATATGAATAGTGAAAGTTATGTTGTCACATCACATGTCGAATTTATCTGGGGCCGATTGAACTTTGTCTCCACGTCATTGAAATAACATGCACAAAATGTTATTCCATATTTCGAGATATACGCCTCAGCGATTGAACCTTTTGGTTTAGCCGGATTTCTAACATATCCTTTCAGCTCCTTTAAATATCCCTCAATTGAAAACATCACTCTTAGGTGTTCAGGTCCACCTAAATTTACCTCCTCAAAAAGATGCATTACCAAATGATCCATTACATCGAAAAATGTCGGAGGAAATATCCTTTGCAATTTGTTCAAGATCATAAGCATATCCGACTGCGCTGAGATAAGGTCACTGACAATAAGACTTTTGCGCACATGTTTTGAAGAAGTTACACAATTCTATGATTGCATCGGAGATATCCTTATCCAAGTATGCACGGGCTGCTACAGGTAACAATCTCTGCATTATGACATGACAATCATGAGATATTAATCCTGTTAAGCGCCCTTCATTTGGACGCATACATCTTCTTAGGTTTGATGCAAATCCATCTTGAAATCTCATAGATCGAATCCAATTGCAAAATGCAATCCTTTTAGTCAGCGGAAGTACTGTATAACGAGTCTGTGGTTTCAATATCTCACCTTTATCAGAATAAAGAGGAAACTTCGGTCTAATATTCATGTTCATTAAATCTCGTAAAGAATTAGGAATATCTTTCGATTTATGTGGATCATCCATGATTGTTTTGAGGATACTATCGCATACATTCTTTTCTACATACATCATATCAATGTTGCGCTTCAATTCATTAGTAGACC